AACAGTATTGGGCACCCAAATAACCCTAAATGATATTATAAAGAACACTGAGGGATGGTGCCCAAGCCACTGGCCTCCTTCCCTCGGCATGACCATCTCTACTGGGTGGCCATTAGGGAAGTGAGAGAATTATATACAGTAGTTTAACCTGATCTTTCTTTGGGCCGCATCGCCCTTTGTAAATGTCTAAACGGGCCCTATCTTCATGTTGAACTGAATACCTGTGTACAATACCTGCATAGCTTATATACGTGACAATTTCACTGAAAAAAAATATTATTATAATTCCAACTTGGAATAATGTAGCCTGATGTTTAAACCTTTTTCACTCTAGGACCCTGATCTTAACACCCATATTCTTAAATATCCACCAATACATTGGTAGCTGTACTGTATAGTTCTGAAGCTGTCATGCATTTTTTTTCAAACGTTGGTCATCAATAAACTTCCGAGCACAATATAAGGTGTGAAAAAATGGGGTCACTGCCAACTGTTATCAACTTGTAAATACCGTGACGTTCTTTATATCGCCACTAAAAAAAATTATGAAATAAAATAAAATAAAGTACATTGGTTAACTCTGCATTATTTTGGTTAATATTAAATGGTGTAAAGCTATAGCTACCGCAATCGCTCTTACTGAAGGACCAAAGGGAGAATATTCCCTTAAGTAGGCAAGTAATTATCTTTTACTGCCAAATAATCAATATGATGTTTTGAGAAATTATTCCGTCATCTAAAGTTGAATGTCAACAACCTACTGACTGTATATAAATTGTTTTTATTTAATAATCTGGTGTTTTCGCACAATATCATACAAGGTGCAATGGGGCTTAATGTGTTTTTTTTTTACTTTCCAGCCGCTTGGCAGCGCCACCGTCGGGAGAACATAAATTAACATTGATTGAGGTATCGTTCTCTAGTCTCAGAATCCTTGGCAGAAATGAACGTATCGTTAAGGTAGAAATGAATGCATCTAGTTAAGGATGAAGTGAACATATCTAGAATCTTAAGTATACTGTAGTCTGTAAACATCTTCTAACATTATTATAAAACTTTATATTTAGTAAGAAAGTTTGTGACGATCCTACACCTTCAATTACAAACAGGAAAATAGAGCGTAAGAATCATTAAGAATCCTTGTAATAAACACTAGGCGTCACCATCACACCCGTCACTAACACCCTCAACTAACCTGTAGATGCGAGGCTTTTTACTCCACGACAAAAACTTGCTCGAGTCGGAAATATACTGGGAGGAAAAACTGTGAGAGGCAGTAATTATACACGAGTAAGTCATCTCTCGGATCATCTCATTATTTCCAGTACGGAGGCGGAGTCGCTCGCCATTTCCCGTGTTGCCTCTAGGTTCAGATTCTCCGCGTGACCTTGTAAGACGATGTTTAAAGAATATCTTATCTATCTACAACGATACGTTCTTGAAGCACTGATCTCTTATAAATTTCAACACCAACAACTTTAAAAAATCATGCAAGGGATTCTTCCTGATTTACAGTGGAGATTTTTCTTAGTTTTATCTCTAAGTGTCTAATACTGACAGTCTACTCTCGTGTTATATACTGAAGGTCTTACAATGGACAATCTGTACAGCCAAAATAGACCGAGTCCCCTTGCCTTGACTTGCTTGTAAGAATTCTGTTAGTTTTACGAGCTATTCAGTGTTTTTCATGCACATGGTAAAGCACCACCTTTATGATTATAGATATAGGAAAGAAGCAATAGTGATGTCTGAATTTCAAAGTAAAGACGGTCAGTTCAGTTTCAGTTTGTAATACACCCCTCATATGGCAACGGTGTTCCCACAATGCAACCATCCTCGCCTCCTACAACTGAAGGTCGTTGCCGAGGCTTCAATAACATTGATCTTGTTAAGATACCTCCACCCTTCATTATATTTCTTGTCTAAATCCTCGTAATGGAACCAAACAATCATCTGGTATGTACCTTTTGTTCAGTAAAAACAAGGGAAATTATATACATTAACTTTTATTTCCTATGGTGTTAGAAAAAAAAGCGTCAAGAGTTTGGGAGCCGCCGACTGCTGGTTATAAACATTCCGGCGCCTTCTTGTCTGGAATCTGATCCTCCCTTACAGCCGACTACCACACTGTTTTCCATGGTTAAATTCCCGGTGAAAACTTATAGTTACCGTGACTCAGATAAGTGACGTACATATACAATGGAAAATGACAAGACAAGCTGGCCTAATATGGAAAGCTTGGTGGTGGTGAGTGCGAGTGTTCGGTCAGCTGGGTCAAGTGACGGTCTATTTATAACAGTGATCCACAGGTCATTATGCCTTAATACTAGCGAGGGAGGGTGTGCACTGGTGTGAGGAGCAGCGAGGCAGGAGATTGAGATGAAAGATTAAGGAGAAAATAATAAAGAATTAACCTGTTAAGTCCAACAACTTACTGTAGTATCATGTTTCACTCTTAGCCCGTACCCCTGCTAGGCTTTATCTTCGTGCTTGATACCTACAGTATAATAAACTGTCTTCATTCGGGTCTCTCTTGATTTATGCCTTCAATCACTCTTATTCTTACAGCACATATAACAAGGTGCAGTCAATTAAATTACAGAATACTGAATAAAAACCACATTCAAAAGAACTATGAATGTATATGGTAAAAACAATCGCAACACACGATACACTACATAGTTTACTCAGCAACACCAGAACATGCGAATCTTATTCAAATAAAGACAGACGCACAGATCGACATAATAAAACAAACCAGCAGATTTCTTCCTAGATGGCGTCACTAAATTAATAAATAGCGTGGAGGACTGGGTGTGTCATCGCCCTCACCAACCATCATCTCTCGAGGATTGGAAAAGAATATCAAAACTTTACAGGCGATATATCTCACTAAGACATGCCCGAGCTAAAAATGCGAGACATAAAGGAGTAGAAACTTCGACTGGGCAGAGAAAGGTGTCCTAGTCAACTACACAACCTTGAATAAAAGTTTGTGGAGCCAAGTCCTACCACCACTGTATGAGGACAAGGCGAGTGCTGCAGATAAAGACCTTGATCTAAACGCCCAGATCCTTCACCCACAATAACACTGAGTAAACTAAGTACTGAGTAAATAACTAGAAGAAAGGTCAAAGCATAACCTTTGTCTTACCAAACAGCCACTTTTAAGGAATTCTACGAAATATACGGTAAACAAAGGAGTGTAAACACACACACTATTGTCTGCCAGCGTGAGGCGGCGGGAAGAAACTCCTTCACTTGTTTACTTAACATTAACTGTCTCTCATGGGTTCGGCTACAGATTTTTACAAGTTAATATGATTATTCCTCGTAACTGTAGAAGTAGTAATAATGCATATTAACTCGCTGACTTATGACAAAACAAAAAGTCTTAAAATTACAAGAAGACTAGAATGATGCATCTGGTAAGTTTACAAGAGTTAGGATACAAATTTACGGTACAGAATCTTTACAGTATCTTAATTCTGTACTTTAACTGGTATTACGAGTTGTTGTATAATTAACAGTCTTAGTGTAATTGTTATATTATTTTGGATGCTATTTTACATACAAGTTTTAGTCAATAATTTAGGAGTATTATTACTACATGTATGGTGATGATGATGGTGGTGGTGGTGATGGTGATCGTCCAGGGCGACACATTATTTAGTAAGGTGACTTTAAAAATTGAAACATCAGTTCAATTTATCTAAGTTTACAGTGAAGTCTTGACTGCGTGCGTGTCTGGGAAAGAAAGCAAAAAAGAGAGGAGAAAAAAGTGTGAAAGAAAGAAAGAAAGAAAGAAAGAGCAACAAATCCCCCCCAAGATAGTTTACAAACAACCCACATATATAGCCATTGGGTTAAGAGCGGCGGCGACACGTGACGAGACCCTTGCCCACCACTAAGTCACTCACCCTTAACACCGAAGGTAAAAAGTATCACAACTCACATTTGTTTAATAACACCAATCGCCAAGAGGAGGTAGTCCAGTAGCCTCTTATGTACGGGGTCCCCTCTCAGCTGAACAATAGTGTCTAGCATAACCAAATAACATTAAAAGCGAAGAAATCAACAAGGTAAGATCGCTCTTGACACCCACCACCAGGAGTAGTGTCAGCCACCCCTCCTGACACCCACCACCAGCAGGAGTAGTGTCAGCCACCCCTCCTGACACCCACCACCAGCAGGAGTAGTGTCAGCCACCCCTCCTGACACCCACCACCAGCAGGAGTAGTGTCAGCCATCCCTCCTGACACCCACCACCAGCAGGTAGTGTCACTCCTCCTGACACCCACCACCAGCAGGAGTAGTGTCAGTCACCCCACCTGACACTCCACTACCACCAGGAGAGTGTCAGCCACCCTCCTGAAACCCACCACCAGCAGTAGTAGTGTCAGCCACCCTTCCTGACACCCACCACCAGAAGGAGTAGTCAGCCACCCGGACACTCCACCTCACCAGCAGGAGTAGTGTCAGCCACCCCTCCTCACACACTCCACCACCAGGCAGGAGTAGTGTCAGCCACCCTCCTGACACCCTCCACCAGCAGGAGTAGCCAGCCACCCCTCCCGACACACCCACCACCAGTGAGTAGTGTCAGCTGATCCTCCTGACACTCCACACCAGCAGGAGCAGGTCAGCCACCCTCCTGACACCCAAGCACTCACCAGCAGTGAGAAAAGTCAGCTGACCCTCCTGACACTCACATTCACCAGTAGTGTCAGCCACCCTTCCTGACACCCACCACCAGCAGGAGTAGTGTGTCAGCCACCCTTCCTGACACAGCCACCCTTCCTGACACCCACCACCAGCAGGAGTAGTGTCAGCCACCCCTCTTGACACCCACCACCAGCAGGAGTAGTGTCAGCCACCCCTCCTGACACCCACCACCAGCAGGAGTAGTGTCAGCCACCCCTCCTGACACCCACCACCAGCAGGAGTAGTGTCAGCCAACCACCATAAACAACAGAGCCAGGTAGAAGGTATTTACTCACCATGTATAAGTTCCTGTTCTCATAAAGGTCATTCACTTGAAAGAGATCTTGGCTCTTGATACCATAAGCCACACACCCCTTGAGGAACATCTCCACGTTCTCTCTCTGTTGGAGGACGAGAAAAAGGGAATAAAGTAGGAGATAAAAACATAAGTCAGTTATACTCTCAACTTGATAAAATAATGATAACAATACTAAGAGACAGAGATAATAATTTACAGTAAGAGATGTATTATTTCTCACAGGGATCACAAGATAACACGTAAGAGATGATAAAGTGAGAGATAGAGACATAATTTACAGTAAGAGATGTATTATTTCTCACAGGGATCACAAGATAACACGTAAGAGATGATAAAGTGAGAGATAGAGACATAATTTACAGTAAGAGATGTATTATTTCTCACAGGGATCACAAGATAACACGTAAGAGATGATAAAGTGAGAGATAGAGACATAATTTACAGTAAGAGATGTATTATTTCTCACAGGGATCACAAGATAACACGTAAGAGATGATAAAGTGAGAGATAGAGACATAATTTACAGTAAGAGATGTATTATTTCTCACAGGGATCACAAGATAACACGTAAGAGATGATAAAGTGAGAGATAGAGACATAATTT